CCGTCCCTCCCGATGCATGTGAAGAAGCCTCTGAAATAGGAGCCGAGACATTCCTCACAGACAGGCTGAAAGCAGCACAACTAGCAGCAGGACAGATGTGTAGATACCGTACCCGTGCTCGGTGTCGTGGGAATATTTGAGCCAGAATTCCACCACGCTGTCCAGCTGTGCCCTGATGTGCTGTCGACACTCTTCCAGTTTCACAACAGACATGTTTTCCTTTGAAATGAAATGAACGCGGACAGTAAAAGAGCTGCAGGTATCCTTCTTGCTCAGTTCAATTTTTTTCATTAAATTAAGAGCAAAAGACAACCTTTTTCTAATTACAGGAGCATAAATATTTTTCTATAAAAGAGTTTGACTTTGAAAAAAAAACGCTGGCTTAAAAAATGTTTGTTCTATGTAAAACAGATAAGATCCAATGAGCGGCATGCTGCAACACTAGCTTTTTCTTCTTGCACTTGTATTGTTAAGTTTCTTTAGTGTTAAACAATCTAGAGACACCATTTATAGCTCAAAGGTAAAGAAGCAAAAATCTGAAGATCCCATCATCCACAGATCAATACTAAAGAAGTAATATGTGAAATTTTACCATTAGGTAGACTTTTGTGCACCGTCTGTAGACCATAACAAGATGTGTGACAGGCCTGGCATCTCTCTACCTCCACTCCAGCTACAACCCCATCCCCCTGTCACTTTGCACGTATTTGCACAGGGTGGCTATACAGGAAAACAGCTGGACTTTTTGGAAGAACATGTCTATTGAAGAAGGAAGTAAGTCACAAGTTTCTAATACTGTTAGAGGGAGACGTTCCATTTTGGAATATTAACAACAAGTTAAAGTTTTAATCCACTGTATGCACTCTCTGTCATTTTGTTCTTATGCTGCGCTGCTCTCTCTGTGCAGGTGGGTTAAGCTTCACATCATGTGACGGTTTTGGTTATTTTGTGCTTTACTTTGCTCTATGTTCCCCAGTTTTATTGGTTTAATTCCTTTTTTGTTGTAATTTCTAGATTTGTTAGTTCTCATGTTTTTCTGTTGTCCTCTGTAGCCCTCTTGTGTGTGTGTGTGTGTGTGTGTGTGTGTGTGTGTGTGTGTGTTTCTTTCCCCTTGGCTCCCTCGTTGTCTCCTCACACCTCCACCTTGTCAGCTCGTTAGCCCTCCCTTTGTCTCTGTCAGCTATATATATGCTCTCCCTCTGCTTTCACTCTTTGTTGGTTCCTCTGTTGTTGCTGGTCCTGTCATCGCTGTAATCATCTCCCCTCGTCTCTCCCTGGCTCCTTCTACGTGTTTTCTGTTACATTTTAGTTGGATGTTTGGACTGCCTTTGTTAACCATTTTTCATTAAAACAACAAGTATTCACCTCAGCCTCTCTGCATTTGGGTCCTCCAAACCTCAACCGAGACGTGACACATCAACGTTCATGCACACTCAGCTAGCCTGGCTTGAAAATATGAGACTGGAGAGCAACACAGAGAGGTTTTGAAATATCTTCTGGAATATCTGGTTGTTGAATATCTGTTCCACAACCATTCTGATCATGTATAGCTTATGTGTTTAAAAGCAAAGTGTGTGGAGAGCAACATATAAATTCAAATGGGCTCTCATACAGTAGCAGCCATTCAGAATGGCCCTTCCCGATCAAACACCTGCTGAATGGCAGCCAACTTCCCTCCAACTCCCAGCGAAATCCCCTACAACTTCCAGCCACTGGAATGACGCCCTGTTGCAATTTTTTTTACTCTGACTCCACCCTGTCACTGGAATACAGGGTCTGCAGCATAAGGTGATTCTCTTTAGATCCTAATGTCCACAAATCATGACAGAAATAATATTTTAGTACAAAGATTGATGGTTTAAAGGGAATTGTAGAAGCAGCCAAGGACCCATCACAAAAAGTGGGGGAATTTTAAATAGCTATTACTGTATAGTAAAAAAATGTGCATAGCTTCTGTGTTTCACACCACATTCAGTCCTTTACTCAGAGACCCTGATGAGGCAGATTGACAAAAGCAAGGCTGTCATAGAATCAGCACTACAGGCCAAGGACACAACAACCACGAAGGTTGTCATATTGTTCAACATTGGTGTCTGAACTCATCATTGCACCTTAGAGGAACAGTCCAAATACTCAATGCAAAGTTTTCTAAGAAGAGCAGTAGTTATTAATGCAGACACGATTAATTAACCATAGAAATTACTATTTGAAAAAAATAGTTTTTGTGATCATAAAGAGAATATTTAACCTTAAATTGTTTCAGATATTTAATATAAAATCCTAAAGTGATGCGCTGGAGAGGTCGCCTTGTTGATTTTCTCATTTATTTTCTGTAGTTTTATTTTAAGCATAACATTTATTCTCTGGGTATAAAATCCTAATCTAATCTTTAAAACGACAAAAAAATGAGAAGATATAAATTTCTTTGTCTATCTCGGGTTGTAATGGAGACCGACGCGGAGTTTAAAGGACAGTTTTTACCTGCAGATCCAGCCGCGGAGCAGCGCTCAGGAAGCCCGTCTGTCTGTCAGCTAAGGCTGTCGGTCACGTGACGCAGCAGGAAGGGCTGACAGCCAATCAGAGCCGAGCTGTCCAGCTGATCAGGGGTCCTTCAAGTGAAGGGAAGCGGCTCTGCTGAGCTCAGGAGTCCTGATGGTGTCAGTTTCCACATTATTAAAACCAACAGCAGAACTACTCCACAATGTTTACCAAATTAATGAGACTGGATTAATTTGGATTAATGTTGTTTGCATTAGGTTGGGGAGTAAAAAAGGTCACAACCAAATGCTTGCTACCAGTTTAAATACAATAAGATTATAATATTTACTGATACCTGCAGTAAAAAACGATTTTAGTTTTTAGTTAGTTAGATTTTAGTCCAACTTTTTTACACATCCTTTTAGACATACTTCTTTCTGATAGTGTTCACTCAAGAAGCAGCTGCTTAATTTAGCTCTTGATCATCACCAAGAACATAAATGAGGGTTGTGGATGCTCCACTGGACCACAGACTGGACTAACGTCTCCCAGACAGCAGATGAAGTCCCATCATGTTTGTTGATGACCCCATTCTTTGCATAAGGCTTGAGCTCCCTTCCCTCCCATCCCACATCCATCCAGGTTAGAAACAAATGCCTGTTACTTCATATTTGGCTCTAGTTTAAACTACAGATCATTACTTAAACATATGGACAGTATAATATTAACTGTGAAAAAAAGCCTGCAGTTTCCAAGCTCATAATCTCCTCTTCTAACCATGCATCCTGTCCTTGAGCACTAAACGCATTGGTGGTGTTTAGGGGAGCAACAATCTCTTGTGGAGAAAGCAGAAAAACCAGTTTAAACTTGTCAAAGACAGCCAGGAAAGGGCAGCGGTAGAATTATAGACAGGAGGGGCGATCTGAGCTTTCATAAATTTTACTTTTTCCTCATAGAAATTAAGATAGCTCTAAATAAAACCAGAGGCTTGGTACAATTTTCCTGAATAATAATTCAGTTCAGTGTATTTATATGGCACCAGTTCACAACACATCTCAAGGCACTTTATAATTCAACCAGATCATGCTATCTAAGGAAAACCACTTGATTGCATCAACTCAATGACTCGAAGGCAATACCTCACACTAGGCATGCTTTTAGCGACAGTGGAGAGGAAAAAGCCCCTTTTAACAGGAAGAAACCTCGAGACCAGACTCAGTGTGATAGGATGAAGAGAGCACATTCAGCCAGTCACAGTCAGAGAAACAGGACTACACTGAAAAACAGGCCAATCTCAAACATCTATAAACAAAGGTGTTAGAGATTGAACTAAAAAATTCTGCAGAGTGGGAGAACAGAGATAGAATGAAGCAGAATGATGAAATGGGGGTCCCTATGTCCTCCAGCAGTCTAAGCCTATAGCAGCATAACTATAGAGATAGCTCAGGATAACCTGAGCCACTCTAACTATAAGCTTTATCAAAAAGGAAAGTTTTAAGCCTAGCCTTAAAAGTAGACCGGGTGTCTGCCTCACTGACTAAAACTGGTAGTTGGTTCCACAGGAGAGGAGCCTGATAACTAAAAGCTCTGCCTCACATTCTACTTTTAGAAATTCTAGGAACCACTAGTAGATGCTTTCATTTAGCATCTCTAAATGTTTTTTTTTAATAAGAACTGCATGTGGATTTAATATTGCTGGACCTGAAGTCCATCCTTCTTCCACTGATGCTCAGCTCTCCTACACTCTTTTCTGACAGCACAGGTTGATTCATTCAACCAGGGTTCATATTTGGCTTATACTATCCAGATCTTAAAAGGGGCACAGAATTGAAAGCATTTCGAAGAGCTGAGGAGAATTACAAGTTGAGGTATTTGCAGCAAACATATCAGGATTCAAGTTGGCCTGATTAAAAACATCAGATAAAGAGGAGTTTGAAACACAACAACACAGAATAGGAACAGCTGGGTTAAGTTTGATACAGGGGAGTGAAATCTCATATAAATGATCCATCCAAGCTACATCACAAAGTTTTAAATTAAAAACTGGTAAACCGTAAAATAAAACAAGATCCAGTGTGTCCAGGTTTCTGTGTGGATGCAGACACAGACTGCATCAGATCAAGGGTCAATAATATTTGAAAATTACTATGAAACCAATGTTGCTGTTCTTAGCGTAAAAACAGAAAATTCTGTTTTTGTAGGGTCAGTCTGACCAATAAGCAGCATTTTCTAATTAGGACGTTAAATGTAACTAAAGGAAGATTAACTAATTTAGCATATGGTTTTGCTTCATCTGGGAGTGGCAGCATAAACACGCTGTTATAAACAGTCTTGTAATGCTGCAGTCATACTGTGATTCTGATGCAATGGATGAAAATCCTTTCTTGCACGCTCTCTTCCTAAGTGATGAAACAGATCCTTTAAGCATATTTCTGAGGTTGAGACATGCTGTAAGAAAGAACAGCTTCACTTATTCTAACAGAAGCTTCCTGCCATCCATACAGTAAATATCCTTCTTGGTGCAAAAAAGAACTGATTAATCAGAGAGTCTCTGTAGGTTCTGATTGACTGAAAGCTTTGATACAATGGCAGGCTCCTTTCAGGGGAAATGTCTGTGTGGCGTCCTCGGTGCAGGCCTGTTTATGGCAGGTAAGTGCTGTAAAAATCCAGCATAGAAACGGCTGTACTGATGAGTTATGCTGACAAAGAGCTGCTTCCTCTGTAGGATGTGCATTCTTCATCATAGCAGCCTTTCCAGTTGTTCAGATTGCTTTGGGTAAGTTAGACACTAAATTATTACTCAATTGTATAGTTTTTACCAACACAGGAAGATTTGATTTCTTTATCTTTCTTGCTTTTATATTTTTTAATGAATCAAGTTTCAGGTTTTGGAGAAAATCTGCAGAGATTTACCTTTTTGTTGGAAAGAAAATGGTACACACCTGCCACCTGACAGCTATTTTGGCTATATTTCCAAATTACACTAAAGAAACTAATTCAATGTCCATAAAAATGTTTACTTGTTAGCGATGATCAACATCAAAACCATGCATGTTTAAATTGGAACAAAACGGATAAATCCTTACAAGTACAGTCATGAAAAAAATGGAAGAGCTTTTTAGTAAAAGAATATGCTTTATACTATCAAGTACTAATTCTAGAAAGGAGGACATAGAAGGTCTGAAAAGCGTCTTTTCGGCAGAATCGTGCAATAGCTAAGGATGGAAGGACTAAAAGGTTGTCTTAAGGGAAAGTGATGAAGTTACTCTGCATAAATAACCAGGGTCTAGAAAAAAGTTTAGATGCAGGTTTATTCTAAACCCGGCTCAACTGCGTTTGGCTAAGTTACCTCTGATGGTCAGATGGAGTTTTTCAGAGAGGACCCAAGTAAGAACAGTGAGCCAGAAATGGCTCAGTGAGTTAGAGGTTTATTTATAGTCTAACCTTACAGCACTGCATAAGTCAAAACAAACAAAATATATCATGATAAAAACCTGACTAAGATATATCAGTTTAAAGGATGAAGAATAAAGTAAAACAATATTTGCAAAATAAGCTTGAGAAACACATACCAAGTATGAGCATAAAAAATAGAACAGATAAAGCAAGACCTGACTTATTCTAATAAATCATAAAACTGAAGAAAAACACCAAAAAACACAAATCCAAGTGAGAACCAGAAACAAACAATGATTGTGACACTGGTGATTTCATTTTGTGAATGAATATTCTATTGCGGCTCAAACATGGTTCATTAATGCCTCCAAATACTATTTCTTGCTTAGTATGTTTAATATATGCCAATAAAAGAATATAATGACGCCATTTTTAGGGTTGGTTCAAACAGTTTAAACTAATTTGACTTTTTATGAACAGGCCTGGTTTACAGGGAGGAGTGCCCAATAAGACCAGTCATCCCAGTGTATGTGATGGTGTTTGGGGTCTTGGCCCTGCTGGTGATGGCCATGTTCACGCTGCCAAAGCTCGTGTCTCCTGCAGCAGAGAGTCAGACCATCTGGAAGGTCGGTGTGGCCATCCTGCTCCTCGCGTCTTTCAGCTGGCTTCTCTTCGGTCAGTCCCAGCTCTCAAACGCTGCATTAAAATCCACACGTCTTCTCTTTGTTCTCATGAATCCCATTCTGGGTTTTATTTTAATTTGAATGAACTATTTACTCTGAGAAATATGTTCTTGTTAAGATAATATTTTTTTCTTCATGTGGTTTCTGTGCTCCCAGGCAGTTATCACATTTATTCCATATATCCACCCAACTATAAGAAGAACATCACGGGCTCCACCAGTAGGACCGCCACCCTTCCTGCACCTGACAACCTGACGGCCTCCCAGAACCACAGCCTTCAGAACCTCACACACACCCCGATCTTATTGGGGTTGATTCTAACTGGGTCCCTCAACACCACCGATGGGAGGATAGACAGAAACCTGACAAACAACCAACAACCGTTACCGCAGCTTGTAGCAGCGTCTCCATACTGCAGCAGAACTGTGTACATGTTTGCTTTCTGGACCACCACACTGGTTCACGTGTTTTTGGGAAATGCACTGCTGATCATAATCTGTCTGTTTGGTTTCATGAAGTGTATAGATGTGTTTGTGAAGCAGCTCAAGACCTGAGCTGGCAGCTGATATGGCGTAGTAAAGCAGGACGATTATTGTCCTAAATATCGGCACCTCATGATACAGGGACGGATTTAGGAAATGTGAGGCCCTAGGCAAAGACAGGCATGGAGCTCTCTGAAATGAGAAGACACGCATAAAACAGAAACATCTTTCAGATATAGAATTTTTTTTAATAGAATAGACATACATTATTTGTTCTACTTGTATTTCCTGTCCTCTTGCTGTTTTCCTCTCTATGTTTTCTTTTGTACCTTTTCCTTTTATATTGGCAACCTGCTCAGCTGACTTTTCATGCTGTCTCCAAAGGAATTAAAGATTTTCCAATTACTAAGCCCATTCTAACTTAGCTGATTGCTCTTTCCTGTGTTTCCAAAAAGGCAATAGCAAAAATAATTAACAGTCCCTCTTTTCACTGTAGACAAGCCATGATCTGGGAGACACACTTAATATTATAAGCATTCTGATGACCTTTTAACGAAGGGATTTTTATGAAAAACATAATTGATGTGCACAAATAAGTCATTGCTTATATATAGTCATAGGAATTTTATGTGGCCCCCAGGAACTTAGGGCCCTAGGGAACTGCCTAGTATTGACTAATGGTAAATCTGCCACTGTCATGATGCACCCCTGGGTTACTAGGCGTATTATACAACATTATTTGACACTTGTTACATGTTACTTTTCATTTTAAATAATATTTTTATACAAATACAAACTGTAACTAAACATGTAACAGAGTTTATCAGTTCCAGGCAGGAAGGTGAGCTAGCAGGATTAACAATCATGCTACTCTTTTCTCCAGAGGCTGTTCATATGGCTGAATTAATAAGTTCCTCGTAAAAACAAAAAAGAGATGTTCTCCAAAGCCTAAATTTGAAGTTGGAAAAGGAAAGCTATCAAGTCGGATTAAAAACATCAGGTAGATAAAGAGGGAAAGAAAGTGGATGAAAAACTAGATGGAATATAAATTAAATTGAAATGGATTGTAAAACAGATTGAAAGGTTTAACTTGGGTGAGAAGGCCAAATGTTTTTTTTATGTTTTATTTTATGTATTGGAAAAATTGAAACAAAGACAAAGCATACCAGGTGAAAGAAATTACATATTTGAAATGATCCCTTTTTTCACATATTTAATTCTTACATGGGCCTGTGGGAGGCTGTACAGTGAGGTCCTTTGCAGCACTGTTATCTTCAAATCCTGGCCTAATTTCCCTCTGCATGGAGTTTGCATTTTGATGAACTGACCATGTTGTACCCTGCCTCTAGTCAGGCACAGGACGCCCATGACCCTGATAGACAAGCAGCAGAAGATTTATGGAAGTCCTTTGGTTCCGATTTCCATGTATTTTATGTTTCTGTGTGTAACTGCTGTTGAATCATCATGGTTCCTGGTTTCTCTTCCTCGTCTCTCATCAGAGAAGATTATTTCCTCTCCTCTTAGTTTCCAGATATCTGGTCTCATGCTATTAGCATGACTTTGAATAATATGTTCATAATGTAGGGAATGATGCTGCACTTGTTCTTTGTGTATTTGGTTGTTGTTATTTCTTTATTAGGAGCCTGTTGTGACTTGACTTTTTTTTTTTTTGGGATTGGGCAGATTTTGAGGAATTTAAACATTGAAGTTATCTTGCTTCACTTGAAGGGAAGAATTTCAACATACTATGAAGCAGTGACAGACCTTCCTGTCACCAGACTGAGAAGACAAGCAGCATTGATGACAAACAGGATTCTTTAGGAAGGAAAATTAGCACTAACTAAAATCATGTTAACTCCCATTGAACTCATTCTCACCCCCTGCCTGAAAAGCTTGGTATCCCTGATCAAAGCAAAACTCAACCTTACTAACCACCAGGGAGGGACCACTGGTTACCCTGCTTCTCATCTGTAGGTCCATCTTTACTTCTCATTGCGAGATTCGTAGAACCAATCTAACTGTTAAAATGTCTGTGTGAACACCCCCTTCTGAGTTACAGCCATGAACACCTTCCATTCATCTTTTTTAGAAAACCTTTTCTTTGCCTCCTGTGTGTATTACGCATGTGGGTCACAGATATTCCTAAAATCATGACAATTTCACTGCAAAACATCAACAGCAACAAATTAAAACAATTTCAGTTGATAACATGCACAAACAACAACAAAGTTATTATATAGGAGACTGAGGAACAGACAGCTCTCGAAAAAAATCAATATATGAAAGGGGAATTAATGGGAAATTACATTTTTCCACCACTGTGTCGAGGATGGAACAATATCAATTATTTGTTTGGATTAGTTTTTAAAAAGTATTGAATTAAAATGCTAAACAGACATCTTAATTTAAATAAAACCAACACTCTTTAGAATCAAAAAGATTGGAGCAAATCAAATTCATAATAGTTAAACATAATGCAGGTAGATGTGACAAAAGATGACAAATGTAAAAAAAAAAAAATGTTTTACTATACAGACATAGATTAAAAATAGAAAATAAAAATTCTCTCTAAATTTAAGGTTCGAATTGAGACATAAATTATTACTGAGAAAAACAACATATAATATTTCTCCAGTTTTATTGCATAATCGCCTCAAAAACAGACTCGGTCGTTTAAAGAGGGTTTTTAGCTTCGTTCCAGTGAACACTTCATACCAGAAGATGGCGCCAAAGTCTCAAAACAAAACAGCTATTTGAAACCTACCATTAAACGCTATATCACCATGCACCAGTAGGTGGCGGTACTTTCCTATTGCTTTATTTACTAAACATCTACACACTGTAGAAGAAGAAAACTGAACATGGCGCGAAGCTAATGAAGTTTTTCCAGAAAAGGTTCTTTTAAATTTTGTCTGTTTTCTGAACAGAACAGCCATTAACGAGCCGGAAGTCAGTCAGTCTGAGAAAAAAGAGAGAGAGAGATGCCGTTACTAAAGCTGAGAGAAGTAAGCATCGATTTCCCCTTCACTCCCTATGAGTGTCAGAAGGAGTACATGAGCAAAGTGCTTCAGTGTCTTCAGGAGGTGAGTCTCAGTGGAAACATGAAGCAGAACTCAACAGCTACCGTTTAGCTTATTTTAGAAAGACAGTTTTAATCAGAACAGATACAGATCGGAACAGTTTCATAGGGATATAACTGATAAACTTCACTGCTGTAGTTGTTATTATTTTTGTTTCAGACACAAATGTACACTGGTATGAAAATTTAGATTTTTGAGGGAATACTGATTTCACAAACAATAAAGGTGAAAATTGGCCTATGAAAAACCCTGATAGATCTGTCTGTGGCTTTTGGACGATGATGGTGGTGGTTGTGGTGATGATGATGATGATGATGATGATGATGATGATGATGGACTGACTGCATTTAGGAAGCAAAGAATCAACTTGACCTCAGGTTGACCCTGGGACGTCAACAACCATCTGCACAACTTGATCTGTCTAATTAGTTAATATGTCTGTCTGTCTGTTGATTCCTGAATATATGGACTCAGATCCACTGATACCAGTTTTTTTTTAAGGCCGATGCCGATTATTTTGACTTCAATCTAACCATCCACTATATATGCTGCTGACTTTTGTTTGTTTCCTATTAGGGGGCACATTTTTGAAGCCATTCCTGCTTTTTATCCTTCGTTTACATGATAAAATTTTTAACAATTGTTACACAAGTCTCAGATACAAATAGAAAAACACTAATATCTGCCCAAAGCATTGTCTGGCCGATGCATTAGGTCTTTCTCTATATCAGGCGTGTTCAATTCAAACTTAAAGAGGTAAACTCCAACAATATGTCCATGATGCAGAGGTCAGGAACTCCAATATGTATATATCTTTTGTTTGATTTTTAGATTAATAATTGGATGGCCAATTTTTTACGACATTAAAGCAGATGAAACCAAAATGATTCCTCTTGAGGAGTTCTGGATAGAGAATATTGACAAAAGAAAACGTTTTTTTTTTTTTTTATCTTAAATGCCAAATATTTATACATTTGTATTTTTTTTTTTACAATTTTGATATAAATACTGCTTAGTGACCCCTGCTCTATATGGTGTATATATTTGTTTGTGGAATAGAGCTAGCCTTTTACTTCCTAGTTTGTCAACTGACTTAAATTAGATACAGAATTTAATTTCTTTATAGATTTTATTACCAAACCACCTTGAAAACAGAAGGTTTGTCTAAAGATGAGCCTTTTAAACACTGGATGTTTCAAAGTGTCTGATTATTGAGAACCCTCTGAACGGTCCATCAGCTAGCTTTATCTATGCTGGTGAAGATTCTCAGTCATCTGAGAATGTCATAGTCTCTCCAAAAAAGTTAAAAAACAATCCACTTTGTTTCAAAATTGGAAACAAAGTCCAGTGGATTGTTTTTAACAAGCTTTATCTAGCAATCAGATGTCAGCTTTCTAACTTGGATAAAGAATCCTGTGAGGTTCTGTATTTATATAGATTTCTACTGATTATTCCCCTTAACCTTAAAAAGTAAAATGATCCAAACTATCAACAATTTGTCTCTGTTCCACTAGGGGTTATCAGCAATGAAGACGATTGATGCTTTAATAAGCTTGTGTATCTGCGTTCTTTGTCCCCAGAGAAAGAATGGGGTTCTGGAGAGTCCTACAGGAACCGGTAAAACTCTGTGTCTGCTGTGTGCGACTCTGGCATGGAGGGAGCGCTTCAGGGACACCATCTCTGCTCGCAAGATAGCAGAGAGGCTGAAAGGGAAGGAGTTGTTCCCGGACACACCACTGGCTTCCTGGGGGACGTCTGCTACTGACGGAGACAACCCAAGTATGTCCCTTCGTTTCATAGGCCTATGAGCTTCCAGGGTACAAGAACACATGCAGTTCTGACAGCAGATACCAAGCTGATCCTCTGACCAGGTGTAAATGGAGTTTGCATGTTAAAGGGAGAAGGTCAGCAGGTGCAACAGTTGAGCATGTTGGCCTTCATCACCCTGGAAAAAATACATTAGTTTTCTTTTACTTGACGCGCTTAACGTCTCAACCACAGAAACAGAGCAGTAAATTGACAGAAAATAGGCGGCAGGCATAGAGGCTGAAGTACTGAGGTGTCGGTCTGCTCATCAAACGATATTTTAGTCATAAAGGGTGAAAAAAAAGGCTATTTCATAGATATTTTTCAGTAGAAACATACATGAATAAGTTGTCTTATCTAGCCCAATGAGAAGAAGCCAATCAGATGTCTGGGTTTCTATGGAGACGGTATTCCTTGATGGATGTTTGATTTGTTTAAATGAATCAATGCTGGATCATTAACTCATCTATGAAATCATATAATTATCAAATTTACTTCTTAATAAATTAAATATACATTTCTTTTAGCTTTATATAATTAGTTGAATATTCATTAAATATATACTGCATATATTTCTAGCTCTAATGAATTAATACCACCTTAAAATAAATATTTCATAATTATTTATTTATTGTATTGGGGCACTCTGCTCCTTCATACTAACAGAAATTTTTACACCCTTAAAGAAAAAATACGGTAAACCATTATCCTCGGATGCCTTGGTAGTATTTAAATATTTACAGCAACTCATTTTAATTCATCACACTTTGTTAGACGCATTTATTGATCTGTGGCATGACTCATCATGTTGATCACAAGAGAGAAGAGCAGGGAATATTTAAAGATATGCAGACTTTGAATCTGAATTTATGCTGTCTATTTGGGACAGGCATAGATCACACAACAGTTTGGATCTGATAAAGTAGATCTATGATTAAAGATTCATATAAAGTGGAATGACGTGTTTGAGAGAAATTCTGATGCCGTCTGGCTGCAGTTACCCTCGGTCACCATCACTGTCGTCGATTTCCCCTTTTTCTAAATATGTCTCCCCTTATGGATGGGTCAGATTTGGCATCAGGGACCCCTTATTGTCACAAGTGAGAATTTTTAAAAATCACAACCTTTGTTTGGGAGTCGGCATACACAGTTCTTCAGGCCGTGTATTTTTTACACAAGCTTTCTAAATGAGGCCCCTGATCATGGCTAGGGATGCACTGATCCACTTTTTTCACCTCCGATATGATACCAATATTTGAAGTTTAATGTCTGCCAATACCGATCCGATACCACAAACAGCAATAAAATGGTTTTATTGTGTGAAAAAAAAAAAAAAAAAGCTTTGATCATTTTTCTGTGCATATGATTTGACTTCCCTTTTCTTAAAAAAGATAGGAAACAACCCAAATATAAATGTTATGACACATTTATTTAACAACTATGCACAATCTTAAACCAAAATTTCTCTGTCTTGGTCGAAATGTTAAAAAAGTGTCTTTATCATTATTAAGTAACATCTCAGTGATTTATTTTGGCCTGTTACATCAAAAAATGTCACTTCTTTCCTTTGCTTCCAAAGAAGTTAGCTGCTTCCCGCTGCTTCCTTTTTGTTTGCAGAGTCAGTTAATCTCAGCAGGTTCCTTGTTATGAAACTTCTGGAGGTTTTTCATTAAGTTGGAGGTGTTATAGTTTGAAGTTTTAACACCGCCCCTCGGAACATTTCTCCCGCAAATATTGCATGTAGCCATCGGGCTAGTAGGCTGAGAGAGCGTGAAAAACCTCCACACCGCAGATCCTTTCCCTCGCTCCATCATAAACAATATGGCCGTGTTGTGTTGTTGCGCTGCCACATGACGGCAGAGCATAGCATAGAGTTAGAATAAATAGATCGGCCCCTATATCGTGTTGATTGTCACCGATACCGATCAATTTTTTTTTTCTTTATGTCTGGACCGATACCGATTAAAAATATCGGATCAGTGCATCCCTAGTCATGCTTATATTTTGGGCATCCCAGGTTGAGAAAGGGTCCTAACTTTCCCTGATATCATTCTATTTGAGTCCTTGGAGAGAGACAAAATCTTCATGCAACTATATTATCTGACTGTCCTTTTGTTCTTTTTGTCCTCCAGCCTACTATAATGACATTCCTAAGATCATATACGCCTCCAGGACACATTCCCAGCTCGCACAGGTTATCAACGAGTTAAAGAACACCTCCTACAGGTAAGAGGTCTGGAGCTTGATTTATGCATGAGGACGTCCCCTCAGAATCTCAGCACATGATCAACAGAGTGGCGAAAATCTCTTGGGAAGCAGTTACTGTACCTCTTTGACACAAAGAGGCTTTGAAAAGGTTGGAAAGGGTTATTTTTCTGCTTCCTCATGTCTTGTGCTGTACAGGGAAAGGGCCATAATATTAGGCACAAGTAGAAAAGCAGCAGACGTATCCGGCGTCTCATTTTCTGCACAACCGTTGAAGCATCAGGCATAAATGTAGCTTTATTTACAGGCTCTATGCCAGAGTAACACTGCTTTTTCATCAAGTCTTTTCCTTTTTAATGTATTGTTAAAGTAACTTTTCAGTTGACAGATTTCAGACGGCCGAGCGTTTGTTTTATCAAGTCGCTGCAATCGTTTATGCTAAAAAAAAAATTCTATTGCATTAAATATGCTATAAATTTGGAGGAAGCAATTAGATTATAAAAGTTTCTCCTTTATTAAAACAGAAGGTTTTACAGTAAAGATGCAACAGATCTTATGAATATAATTATCATTAGCGAGAAAGTGTGGTTGTGTTTTATGTATCAGGAGGGAAATAAGCAAAGGCCTGAGGAGAGCAGGAAGTTCTATCCAGCAGTCTGGGAAAGTTTGAGACATTTCTAACTCTAGAGAAAAGATGACATGATGGTCTATCATCCTACAGATAGAAAGAGTGTTCATCTGTAGAAACCTTGATAGACATTTCTCAGCTGTGCTCAGACTGGTGATTGGTTTATGCTTGATCCGTCCACGAGGTCCGTTTTGGGCTTCAATGCCCCTCTGTGCTGCGTCTGTGTGGACAGAATTTCCGCACCTAGGAAATTTGTAACTAGGCAGACAAATCTTTGCAGAAAAACATGGCGAACAAGAACAGCTCCTGCTTGCAAGGGTTCACAAAAGATCCTGCAATTTAGCCATTAAACACAGCAGCAAATCTCCAAAAGACAAAAAGACTTAGAGTGAGATAGTTTGATGGAAATAGATAATGGAGGGGAGATTTTAACTTCTTACAAGAACTGAACGTCACTCAAACCTTCAACATTTTACTGAAAGCATGAGTCAGTTTGAACTTTTTTGATTTTCCCGAAGCCTCGGCAGCAGATTATCTGTAGCCTGTTAGCTCGGCTACCTGGCTTCTACATTCCCTCAGTAACTTTGTTAGTGTACAGGACCGTTTCTTTTTTCACCAGTATTTTTCAGTATTTCAGGTGAAACTTGGTGAACTCCGGCATCAGAACCTGTATTTCTCTGTTGAATCAGGCCCAAGGTGTGTGTGCTGGGCTCAAGAGAGCAGCTGTGTATCAACCAGGAAGTGATGCGTCAGGAGAGCAACCACATCAAGGTGAGTTAGACTAATTGTTAGATGATCCAGTGACCTTTAATGCTGACCCTAATTCTACTACCTTCCTTTCCTCCTTCCCTCCCTCCTATCCTGCTACTTTCCTTTCCTTCCCTCCTATCCTGCTACCTTCCTTCCTCCATCCTATCCTGCTACCTTCCTTTCCTTCGTTCCTCCCTCCTATCCTGCTACGTTCCTTTCCTTCGTTCCTCCCTCCTATCCTGCTACCATCCTTTCCTTCCCTCCTATCCTGCTACCTTCCTTTCCTTCCCTCCTATCCTGCTACCTTCCTTCCTCCATCCTATCCTGCTACCTTCCTTTCCTTCGTTCCTCCCTCCTATCCTGCTA